GGGTACCGCGCGTGCGCGGCCGGACACTCGCGGCCACGCCCCGAGAGGCGCGACTTAAGCGGGAGGAAGGCGGGCGCGTGGGCGGGCCCGAGCCAAACGGCGTCCCAGCTCTCGCGAGAGCGGCGCTTGATGACGTGAGGGGAGGCGGGGCGCGTCGTGGGCGCCGGCGGGTGCGTTTGAATCTGGTCCGAGCGCGGGAAGCTGGGGTCCCGGAACCCAGGTGAGCGCGGCGGTGCCTAGCGGGGCTTCGGTTCGTAGCAGGGGCCCGGAGACAGCGGGGGTCGGGCGGACAGACCTCTTCCTGGCGGCTCGGGGTCCCGGCCTTCACCCGGTTCGTGGGCCACGGTCCTGCGCGCCGCCTGTCTCGGACGGGAGCCCCGGCTGCCAGACACCGCCCTGCCGGCGCGGGCTGCGCTTTGTGTTTCCCGCCTGCCCCAGAGGGAAACCCCGGGCCCTGGACCCGGGGCCTGGTCTCAGAGAGGACACTCGGAGCCCTGGGCCCGGGGGCTGGATTCAGAGAGGACACCCCGATCCCTGGACCCGGGGACTGGCTTTAGAGAGGAAAACCCGAGCCCTGGCCTCAGAGAGCACTCCCTAACCCCTTGGCCCGGGAACTAGCCTCAGAGAGGACACCCGGATCCCTGGACCAGTGGACTGGACTCAGAGGGGAAACCCTGAGCCTGGGAACTAGCCTCAGAGAGGGTCCCCTAAACCTGGACCCGGGGCCTGGCCTCAGAGGACACTCCGATCCTTGGACCCGGGGACTGGCCTTAGAGAGCAACTCGCTAGTTCTGGACCCGGGGACTGGACTCAAAGAGGATGCCCCTAGTTCTGGACCCAGGGCCTGGCCTCAGAGAGGATCCCCTGAGCCTGGATCCGGGGACTGGCCTTAGAGAGAACACTCCAGTTCTGGCCCCGGGGACTGGACTCAGGGAGGATCCCCCGAGTCTTGGACCTAGGACCTGACCTTAGAGAAGGTCCCCTGAGCCTGGACCCGAGGACTGGCCTCAGAGAGCACACCCCAGTTCTGGACCCGGGGACTGGACTCAGATAGGATCCCCTGAGCCTGGACTTGGGTACTGGTCTCAGAGAGGATCTCCAAGCTCTAGACCTGGTTACTGGACTCAGAAAGGATTCCCCAAGCCCTAGACTCAGGGCCTGAGAGGACACCCCAATTCCTAGGCCTAGGGACTGGGCCAGAGAGGATCCCCTGAACATTGGCCTTGGGTTCTGGCCTCAAAGAGGAAACCCAAGCCTGGACCCAGTGACTCCAGAGAGGAGTCCACACGCTGTAGACTCCGTGACTCACCTTAGCGACATCAGTACCCCAAATTCCTGTGCCTCGTTCGCTGCCTTTGGTTTTGTCTGTGAGGAGGGAGTTTGGGGGTAGAGTGACAAGAGGGGTTTCTCTTTTGTAATGCTCATCTTAATTCAGTATCAGATCACCTGTGTGAAGAGCACCCTGTGATTGGGACGTTGGGATGGATAGCTGGATTGTGAGATGACCTCTAACCTGGAAAGTCACACTCTGGCTGGAGAGCGAGGAACATAAAGAAATAAGAAACATAAAGTGTTGCCTCTTTGGGTGACAGGCTGAGTGTAAGTTGAAAAATTAACCACTAAAAATGTACAGTCACTAATATACAGGAGAAGACAGGAAGTATGGTCATAAGTTTGGTAGTCTAAGGGAAGTAGATGACTATATATTAGATTAAAATGCCAAAGTGGTGTGTGTGGACATAGAGAAAACAAGAAAAGTGATCAGAATTATGAAAAAGTGGGGAGGGTTCCTAGACCTGGCAGTTTAAGATGTATGATTCCAATGTGCTTGATGCATCTTATTGGATTGTTGCTTATTTTTCTAAAATCATGAGTTGGTACTAGCCACTGTTCTTCATCAGGCTTGTTGCTAGCCACCCTCCCTGCCCTCCCCATGTTCTTCATTAGTAAAGAGTTACACAGTCATGTGTGGCTTGATGATGGGGACACATTGTCATTAGGTGATTTTGTTTTTGCTCAAATATCAGAGTGCACTTGGTCAATGTGCATAGTGCAGCCTGCTAGGCTGCAAACCTGTATTGTATGGCTCTACTAAATACTGTAGGCACCTCTAACACAGTGGTCAATATGTGTGTATATAAACATCTAAACCTAGAACAGGCAAGGTAAAAAGTATTATAATCTTTTGACCACTGTCGTATGTGTGGTCCATCGTTGATTGAAACGTTATCCAGTGCATGACTGCAGTTCATACTTCAGTCATTTGAGTTGAGGAGTTGAGGAATGAGGTGACCATACTTCAGTGTTACTTATGTGAGGAGGCATTAAACTGATGTGATTTTCTTCTTTTTTCAATTTAGACATTATGTATGTATGTATGTTTAAGATAGCTCCCTATCCTCATAATTATTGCCAGTAATTTTCCACGTTGCTCTATAATGATGCAGATAGTTTTTATTTATTTTTTTAAATGAGGGCATCTTACTGCAAATATGTTCCATCATTTGCTGTTGCTTCATTTTTAGGTTGATGTCTTTTGTGTAGGGTATGGCTAGTGCCAGATGTTGTGAATGTGAAATAACGTCTCCTATGGAAACGCAGGCAGGGAGGAAGGTATGCACAGTCCCTTGAGCTCTCATTATCCCAAAGGGATGAGAAGAGGGTGCTGTGGTTGGACAGGCCTGAAGCGCAGTCTAACAAGCTCCCAGGTGACCCTTGGGCCACTATTTTCCATCTTACTTTGAATAACAAGATGACTGTAACAGTAGGATTTTTTTTTGATGGAAGAATGGTGAGTAGAAGAGAGTCTCCAGAATGTAGCAACTAGGATCAGACGGTTCTTTTGTTGAGCCAACTCAGATCTGCCTGAGCCAGCATCTTGCTAAGGTGCTAAAAAGGAAGAGAAGGTGAGCTTCCTGGACTGTTTGGATTTCTCTTTTTTTTCAGTTGATAACTTCATTGACAATTGATAAAATGTACCATTGATACTATGTTGTTAACATCCCCAGTAAAGGAAATAGATAAGTTATTTTTCAAATATTATAACTTGTTTTATGTCATAATATTGTTAGAAACGGTCTACTGTAGAGTGGCACAGGAATTTTCTTGTAGTTCTTGAATGCTAATACCAGATTAAATCTTGTAGGAAAAGATATATTTGCAAATGTAAGTTCTAGTATGATTTTCACTAGGGTTACAAGATAAACGCCATTTGAATGTTCCATCTGCCATGGAAAAACGTGAGACATTTGTTCAAGCGGTGTCTAAGGAGCTGGTTGAAGAGTTTTTGCAATTTGTTCAACTTGATGTAAGTGTCATGTTTTAGCTTTATTGTGATTTTGACTGTTAATGTAAAATATATTCTAAAATCATTATGTCCCCAGTGAAATAGAGTTATCTCAGTGAATCTTTAGAGATCAATGTTTGTTTAAAAATGAGAAAACAGATCGTGTTATACTTAAAACAGTGCTAAGATGTAAAAGGTAAACAAAAGTTAACCAGTCAACATGGGAATGCCTGGGATTGTTTCTGTAGTGTCTCAGAGAAAAAGGGCCTAGGACAGAGCTCTGAGGAAGCCAACCAGTATTGAAGGTACCAATGTTAAAATACTATGACTTTGGGGCTGGAGAACTATGGCCTGCCTACCTTATTTGTTCTGATTGTGTGATGAAAATCAAATTAGCAACAATGAAAAATTAGAGGAGCCTAATAATGAATTTGTTGCTAGCAACATTTAAGAAATTATTTTTCTTTATAAGAGAAGTGAACTTATAATCTGGTATCATAAAACAGTATTCTGTAAACTTAAAAATAATCCCAAACTCACAGACATCTCTTATCACAGAGGTGTTTATAAAAGCAAATTTTTAGATATTTTGTAAATATTTGCTTTGGCAGTAGGAAAGAATATGATTTGTATTAGAAATACAGTACACAGGCCGGGCTCGGTGGCTCAGCCTGTAATCCCAGCACTTTGGGAGGCCGAGGCGAGTGGATTGCCTGAGCCCGTGGATTCGAGACCCGCCTGGGCAACTTGGCGAGACTTCGTCTCTACAATAAAATAAAATAACATAATTAGTTGAACGTGGTAGTGCGTGTGTTCCGGCTACTCAGAAGGCTGAGGCGAAAGGATGGTCGGAGCCCAACAGGTCGATGCTGGCGTGGCAGTGAACATGCCACTGTATTCCAGTCTGGGCGACGGAGTGAGACTCCAAAAAGAGAAAGAAATACAGTACATGGCCGGGTACGGTGGCTCAAGCCTGTAATCCCAGCACTTTGGGAGGCTGAGGTGAGAGGATTGCTTGAGCCCACGGGTTCAACTTGGGCAACTTGGCAAGACTTTGTCACTACAATAAATAAAAAAATTAGCCGGGCGTGATAGCGCGGGCCTGTAGTTCCGGGTACTTGGAGGGCTGAGGCGGAAGGATCGCCGGACCCCAGCAGTTGAATGTTGGGGTGCCCGTGAGCGTGTCACTGCGCTCCAGTCTGGGTGATGGAGTGAGACTCCGATTCAAAAAAAAAAAAAAAAAAAGAAGTATAGTATATTATATTTTAAAAATCTGAAAGGTTACATATTACATACCATATTATTAACTAAAATCACAACTAAATTGAAAATCAGAAGGTAAAAGTAGCAATTCAAGGTTACACTGGTCACCCCCTGATGACAAGTGCACTTCCAAGGTGCATTGTTTCCAGCTACACCATTGTGTGCCGTAGAACCTTTGTAGTGTTACTTGGCAGCCAGCAGACATCCCAGAAGAATACTGAATTAGTCCTCATAATAATGAGGATGTTCGAGACCCACCTGGGCAACTTGACGAGACCTCATCTCTACAATAAATCAAAAAAATTAGCCCGGCGTGGTAGAGCGTGCCTGTAGTTCCAGGTACTCGGAAGACTGAGGCGGAAGGATCGCCGGAGCCCAGCAGGTCGAGGCTGCGGTGGCCGGGAGCGGCCACTGCACTCCAGTCTGGGTGACAGAGTGAGACTCCAACTCAAAAAAAAAAAAATGAGAATGAATTTTAGTTTATTAATAATAAACTTTATTAACACTTAATAATTCAGCTTAGTACCTAGTCACCTAGTAGCTCCTAGTTAAACAAAAGCATGCAGATATGTAGGATTGTGTATTGCTTGGTTTCATCAAGTTGAATGATAGGAAATGTTATTTTGCGTACTATGACAATTTCCCATAGTTCAACCTTATAAGAACTTTGAGGTTCGTTTGAGGCCTATTAGGTGTACCTTTCCAAGTGCATTTAATTCTGCTATAATCCAGTACATGCACTGCCAACAATTACTGCACTCTGTAAAATTGTGTGGCAATAAGAGCCACAGATTATGGAGAAAACGGGGTTGGGGCACAAAACTAAAAAATTTCACCAGTGACACATTAAAAAATAGGAACCTAATGGAATAGTAGCATAGTTTTGTATGTGTTAAATCACTAAGAAATATAAATACTGTAGTAAGTATGGCATTTTATCTTGAAAAATACTTAAATTCTGTAGGTGGAAGTGGATGCCTACAGAGCATACTTCCCAGGGCTCATCTGCCACCCTCTCTGAAATGAAGAGCACAAGGGATGAAACAGAGGGGCAAACCAGGCAGAGGGGAACAGGGAGCATTAGAGAAAGAGGGAGCCGGCCTGAGGAGAGCACAATGAAGTGAGGGGCGCAGTGTGTGGCCCAAGGTGGCTGTACCCAGTGGGTACAGTTTTCTACATTTACCTGGTGTTGCTTGCCTGTGAAATCCCACATAAGCAGTGAGAAGTTCGCCTTTGGTCAAACTGCTCCTAGTAGTGTTCGAACAAATTTTCTTTTCCAAACAAGTATTAGAGTACAGAACTGACTACCAAGTGCCCATATACTCCTTGGAATCCGTGAAGGGAAGAGGACACAGCACTTAAGAGAATTCAGTTCTTTTTTTTTTTCTTTTTGAGTTGGAGTCTCACTCTGTGGCCCAGACTGGAGTGCAGTGGCCGCTCCCGGCTACCGCAGCCTCGACCTGCTGGGCACCGGCGATCCTTCCGCCTCAGCCTTCCAAGTAGCCAGAATTACAGGCATGCGCTACCACGCCCAGCTGATTTTTTGATTTATTGCAGAGATGAGGTCTCGCTGCCTGCGGGCTCAGGCAATCCACTCACCTCAGCCTCCCAAAGGCGCGGGATTACAGGCTGAGCCACCGACCCCGGCTGAGAATTCACTTCTTTAACAAGCATGTCTTAAGGGCCCTCTGTACACCAGGCACTACACTGAGGGTTGGGGATACAGTGTACTCAAAGCAAAGTTTCTGCACAAATGGGGTTTATGTAGTGGTAGAGGAAGAAGAGCAAGACAAACATGTAAATAATAAAGCAGGTGGAAGGTCAGTCACAATGCTTAATGATGGGGACATGAGATCTGAGAAATGAGTCACTGGGTGATTTTGTCATTGTGCAAACATCAGAGTGCATGTACACAAACCTAGATGGTATGACCTATTACACAGCTAGGCTGTATGGTAGAGCCTGCTGCTCCTAGGCTACAAACATGAACAGCATGTGACTCTGCTGAACATTGTAGGCAACTGGAACACAATGTAAGTATTTGTGTGTTTAAACATTAAAAAAGTACTATTAAAAAAAGGTTAAAAATGGTATACCTGAATAGGGCACTTAGCATAAATGGAACTTGCAGGACTGGAAGTTACTTTGGGTGAGTGAGTGAGTAAGTGGTGAATGGATGTGAAGGCCTAGGACATCACTGTATACTACGGTAGACTTTGTATACATTACCCACTTAGGGTACAGTAAATTCATTTAAACATTTTTTCTTTCTTCAATAATAAATTAACTATAGCTTACTGTAACTTTTTTATTTTATAAACTTTAAAATTCTTTTTTTTTTTGAGTTGGAGTCTCACTCCTTCACCCAGGCTGGAGTGCAGTAGCATGCTCATGGCCACCCCAGCGTCGACCTGCTGGGCTCTGGCAATCCTTCTGCCTCAGCCTTCCAAATCGCCGGAACTATCGGTGTGCACTACCATGCCCAGCTAGTTTTTGATTTATTGTAGAGATGAGGTCTCGCCAAGTTGCCTGGGCTGATCTTGAACCCATGGGCTCAGGTACTTCACTTGCCTCAGCCTCCCAATGTACTGGGATTACAGGCTGAGCCACTGTAAAATTCTTTTAACTTTTGATTCTTTTGCTATAACACTCACTTTAAACACAAACACATTGTATGGCTTTACAAAATTATTTTCTTTCTTTATACCCTTATTTTATAAACTTTTTTCTATCTAAAAATTAAAAAAATTTTTTTTTGCTTTTCAAATTTTTTTGTAAATAACTAAAGCACAAGCATATATGTTAGCCAAGGCCTACATAGGGTCAGGATCGATATCACTGTCTTCTGTCTCTGCATCTTGTCCCTCTGGAAGGTCTTCAGAGGCAATAACATAAGGAGCTGTCATCTCCCATGAAAACAATACCTTCTGGATGCCTCTTAAAAGACTTGTCTGAGGCTATTTCACAGTTAAACTATTTTTATTAAGTAGAAGGAGTAAACTCTAAAATAACAAAAATACAGAATAATAAATACATAAGCCAGTAAAATTGTTCATTATTGTTATCAAGTATTATGTACTGTGCATAATTGTATGTGCTGTGCTTTTCTACTACTGGCAGCATAACAGGTTTGTTTACACCAGCATCACCACAAACATGTGAGTAATGGATTACATTAGGATGTTATGATGGCCATGACACCACTGGGTGATAGAAATTTTTCAGTTCCATTATAATCTTATGGGACCACGGTTGCATATGCAGTCTGTCCTTGACCAAAATGCTGTTATGCAGCTTAGATTGCACTGCATGACTGCATTCAGACAGAGATCTAAATGGGCATTTGGACATTTGCAGGAAGAAGATTCCAGATAATAGAAATGGGAGAGACTGAGACTCTGAGCCAGGATGTACTTGGGAAACTAAGGGTGTGAACTTATTGAGGAGGAGGAGGGTGGTGGGGTTAGGATGGAGAAGTAGCCAGGCCAGGTCCTGTACGGCCTTGTAGGATCTGTCTTTCTTTTTCCTGTTGAAATAATTGCAATGTTAAAGAAGAGTTGTAAGAAGAGTATAAAGGAATCCTGAATACCCTACAGCAGGATCTAACAATTGTTACCAGTTGCCACATTTTCTTTATTATTATTTGTAATCATATTTTTTTTTGGAATCACTTGGGTGTCAGTTGCAGGCATTATACCCCTTTATCCCTAAACATTTCAACTTGTGTCTTTCTAGAAGATATTCTCTTATATAACCACATTAAAATCCTTATAAATCAGGAAATTTAATATTGCAGATAATACTATTATCTACAGTACATATTCACATTTCTACAATTATCCCAATAATGTTCTTTTTAGCATATTTTTTCCTGGTCCAGGATCTAGTCTAGTATCACACGTTGCATTTAGCTGTCTTGTCTTATTAGTTGTCTTTAGTCTGGAAGAGTTTTTCCACCTTACTGTGTTTTTTGTGACACTGACAGTTTTGAAGAGTACAGGCAGCTGTTTTGTGGCATATCCTTCAATTTGCATCTGAGGATCAGATTACATTCAGTATATCCATTTTGGCAGGAACTGTTTAACAGTGTTAAGTCCTTCTCAGTGTATTACTGTCAGGAAGTATGTGGTGGTCTGTCCCACGGGGACATTGGGTGGGTGTCCACCAGGTCTCTTTGCTGGGAGCCTGCTATTGTGGGGAAGTAGGTGACACTGTAAATGTCCTGCTCCTTACCAAGCTTCTACCCCCTGATTTGGCATCCACTGATGGTTCTTGTTAGAGTTCACTATTACTGTGATGGCTATAAAATTGTCATTTTCCAACTCCATATTTCTTCTGTTTTTATTTGTTGGCATTCTACAGCATGCAAGTGCCATTGATTAATGATTTGTTATTACTTAATATCAGTATGGCCTCCTTGTTTTTTTCAAGAGACAGAGTCTCGCTATGCTGCCCAGGCTAGCCTCACAACTCCTGGGCTCAAGCCCATCCTCCCAAGTAGCTGGGACTGCAGGCACCACACCCACGCCCTGCTTGGCTTCCTCCATTCTTGTTTTATTCAGTAGGTTATAATCCGTCACTGTCACTGTTTTGGTGCTCAGTTTTTCTCAGATATTGACTACAGGGAGTCTCTTTTACCTGGATTCTATGCTAGACCTTTTGATAGGGGCTTCTGTTTATTCTGTCAGAGTAGGTGAGTTCATCTGCTTAGAGTGAGAGAAAATGGAGGTTGTTGGGAAGATCTGAAATAATCTTGTTGGCTGGTGGAAGAGAATGATGTCCAGATACGAGTACAGGATGGTGTAAGGGCCCACATGGGACTGGGGTCTGTCTGTGTTGTTGTCGTTGTTATTGCTGAATTCTAGCATACTTTTATAACTTATTTCTGGGTCTGGAGATGGTAGACATTTTAGGGAAGGTTTTGCTAAGTGGGTAAATTTTTAAACTCCAAAGATTAGCATATTAGGGGAGAATAGATGGAAGAGGAATTTGCTACTTTTTATCTGATAATTCCTGTATTTTTTCCTTTTAGGAATGAGTTTGAAAAGTTCAGATATACTCCTGAACCTGTACCAGAGTTAACACTTAAACTTTCCTTTTGATGCCGTTATGAAAAGAATATGACTAAAGTTTTATATTTGAAATGTGACACTTACTATTTATGTTACAGAAAGATGCCTCTGACTCTTTCAGCCTAAATGAATTACTAGATGAATTATCAAGAAAACATAAAGAAGAATTATGGCAAAGGCTGAAGAATTTATTGACAGATGTGTTATTGGAAAGCCCAGTGGATGGTTGGCAAATAGTGGAAGTCCAGGATGAAGATAATATGGAAACAGAGCATGCCTCAAAAATGGTAGTGTTTGGTTTTCAAGGATGAAAAAATTTCCCTTTTTCTTTGTTAAAAAACATCTGTATGATTGAATTTTAAGTTAAGAAAAATTTTGAAGTTAGAAGTCAAGAATTATATCTTTTATTTTAGTTTATTTTTTTTACCAGAAAGTCTAGATCTGAGACAAGAATTTTAGAAGTTAAGTCTGTGTTGTTGTTTTACCCACTTTTCAACCTTTCCATTTTTAATCTAGTACTATATATTGCTATTCTTTTAGGATAGTTGACTTGTATTCAACTTTAATTCACATATGTTTGTTTTATTTTCATTTAATTTAATTTTATTTTTAGAGGCAGGATTTTGTTTTGTAGCCCAGACTGGAGTGTGGTCATATCTCAAGTGATCCAGATGTGTCACCACACCCAGCTAATTGTTTTTTTTGTAGATATGGGATATTGCTATGTTGCCCAAGGATGGTCTTGAACTCCTTAGCTCAAAAGATCCTCCCACCTGGACTTCCCCAAATGCTCAGATTATAGGTGTGAACTACTGTACCCAGCCTAACTCACATTTTAGAATAAGCTAGAAGTGTGGCTTAATTTTTAGAAATTTTGTAACTTAAATTTCCTTTAAAAATTGGTTTTGAGTTGGCAGTTTTAATTCACCCATGTTGTTCACTCATGTTTTGATATTTTTACTTATAGAGAAAAAAAATAGAAATAATTCATGCAATTACATCCGTGATTCTTGCTTCTGTATTTGTAATAAATGAAAGTGAGAACTATGAAGCCTTACTGGAATGTGTTGTTATATTAAATGGTGAGTTGACTTTGTTATTAGTGGCATATTTAGAAGTGGGGCATTGAAATGATACTCTGTAAAAGAAAGCTACTTGTTTCATGAGCATTATTGATTTTCATAGTAGAAGGGAGTGTAAAGCCATGACTTTGCAATCAGATTTTTTTACTTCAGAAAAGGAGTATACTTATATAAAGATGCCCTGAATAATTAATTTAATTTAAGCTCTGTTTAAGTGTTTCAGATGGTGAGATGGCAGTACTCAGCAACTAACTGGTATTGTTTACAGATTTTTCAGGAAAGTCTTCTTTGACTTACAGGACCAATGATCAAGAGCTTGTTTAAAGGATAATATCTGATTATGTGATCACTACTACCAGATGGTGTCAATTCAGTGTCAATTTGTGACATTGAATTTTTTCTTTAAATATGTTATGAACATGATCTGAGGAGTAATTGTTGACTCTTTGGGGAGTTTTACTACACTGAAATTTAAATCAAGATACTTTTCAAGTATTAACTATAAAATTAGTTATTAATTTAGGAAGTATACTAGTCTGAGTTGATGAGATGTGATATAAAATATATATGTATAATTATTTTGTAGATATAGAATATGTAAATAATTTTAAGTAATGATATTTTTGAAAAACTCTCCAAATACAGTCATCTTTTACTCACTCTAGTTATATGTGACACATTCTCTCATCAAGCTTATCATTCTTAGCGTCACTTGGACGTATTTATCTGTTTTGTAGTAAGTTGTTTTATTCTGAATTCTTGAACTGAAATATGTGTCATTAAAGTCACCCCTGATCAGTATAAAAATAGTTTCCAAATGCTTTGTGAATTTTACTACTGCTTTTATTTGTGTAGTCTCCAAATAACTGGTAAAATGATTAGTGCTAACTTTGTAGTTACTATCAACTTCTCAGTTAGTTTAGAAATTTTATATTATTATAATGGCATTCAGATATCTGTAGATGCTAATTAAGAGCACATTATTAGTATTATTAATTTAATTATAGAACTTTTCTGTTAATAAAAACAATATAGTTGTGTATTCATTTTGATAGTTACTTTTACTGTTTTTCACCTGTGAGCCAAAGTTTGAGGCCAGCACATTGAGGGATAGTTGTAATGGATAATTGATCAGTAGACGTGACCTAGCTCTGGGGTAACAGGGTTACCATGGATGTCATTGCACTTAGGCTTAGTTAGTCTCTCATCTGCCTTTCTAAAGTTAGGAGTTTGGACAGTATGAGCTCTTTGAAGCTTCTAGTTCTAAAGTTCTCTGTTCTGTTAGGTCTGTTTTTATAACACTTGTCAAATAATTTTTTAATTGTCATCATTTACCTTCTATGATTAATGTATATAAATCTTGGCAAGTTAGATATAAACTAATATTATTTGCTTAGCAAAGCTTTATAATGAAATACAAAGTCATAATACACTAAACTATTGAATCTGAACGGTAAGAATTTACCTTACTAATTGGAAAATTACTGTTTTCTGTTTTAGGTATTTTATATGCATTACCTAAATCTGAACGAAAACTACAAAATTCCATTCAGGATTTGTGTGTTACATGGTGGGAGAAGGGCCTGCTTGCCAAAGAAGACATGGGAAAGACAGCTTTTGTCATGTTACTAAGGAAGAGTCTTGAGACTAAGACAGTATGTTTACTTTCTTTTTTTTTTTTAAATCAATATTTTTTATTTTAATATTGTGGGGTACAGTTAAGGGTTAGGTATGCAAATATGCTTCATTCAGGCACCCTTGTTGATAAGGGGTGTCTCCCCATCCCCAGACAAATATTGACTACTGTTAATCCCACTCCCCTTTCCCTCCCTCACCCCCATAGTTTTCCACCACTGTCAATTCTTTTCTTATAGTATTACGATAGATATTCAAGGTCCACTAATGAGTGAGAACATGTGATACTCAGATCTTTTCTTTTCTTTTTCTTTTTTTTGAGTTGGAGTCCGCTCCATTACCCAGGCTAGAGTGTAGTATCACGCTCACGGCCATCCCAGCGTTGACCTGCTGGGCTCAGGTGATTCTTCTGCCTCAGCTTTCCAAGTAGCCAGAAATACAGGCACGTGCTCCCATGCCTGGCTAGTTTTTTGATTTATTATAGAGATGAGGTCTCGCCACATTGCCCAGGCTGTTCTCGAATCCATGGGCTCAGGTATTCCGCTCACCCCGGCCTATCAAAGTGCTGGGATTACAGTCTTGAGCCACTGTACCTGGCCATATTTACTTTCTTAAACACATACTTCATGTAAAAAGGAATTATATTTGATTGGAAGGAGCTTAACCACAGAAGCTTCTCAATTTGGGGATTTTTAAAAAAACTGTAAGATATTCAGAAGTCTAAGGTGATGCAGTGGCTCCCTGCTGTGATGGAATGCTAGGCCTTCTCCCCCATTTTCTTCAGTATTTGGCTTCTGTCCTTCCTCTTGGCTCTTTATGGTTGCAAGGTAGCTGCTCCACACCATTGTCATGTCTGCCTTCCAAGCAGGAAAACAAAGCAGGGTAACTAGGAGGGCCAGCTGTCATCCATGGCCACCTCTGTTGGAAGATGGAATTTGTAAAGGGATATGTTGCTATCCTTAACTAAATTGGAGATATTGTCAATAGCAGAGGAGAGCTGAGCTCCTGAGATGGGTAACAAGTGATACTTGCCAGTGTGCATGTAGCCCTTGAGAGACAGGCTTGCATCATGCTGGGGCAAGGACTAGACAGGGAGGACAGAAAGCAGGCATGATGAGGGGTTTTTTCTTTTTTGAGTTGGAGTCTCACTCTGTCGCCCAGACTGGAGTGCAGTGGCCGATCCCAGCCACCACAGCCTCGGCCTTCTGGGTTTTGGCGATCCTTCCGCCTCAGCCTTCCAAGTATCTGGAACTACAGGCACGTGCTACCATGCCTGGCTAGTTTTTGATTTATTGTAGAGATGAGGTCTCGCCAAGTTGCCCAGGCATGTCTCGAACCCACGGGCTCAGGCAATCCACTCACTTCAGCCTCCCAAAGGCACAGTATTACAGGCTGAGCCACCGAGCCCAGCTGATGAGGAGTTATTATTGGGTTTTTTTTTTTCACTCAGTGGTATAGTTCTAAGGAAGTGGAGGCTGGGCCAAGGGAGAGCATATTTGAAGGTTGGTTATAACTTGGGCTATTTCTCATACCTTAATCTTTGATATACAACTCAAAAAATTTTTTAAAGTAGCATTTCTTTTCCCAAATCAAGAAAACAACAGATACTTATGCATATTTGTCTTAGAATGTTGTGCAAGTAAAAATTAAAATCATCCATAATTCCACCACCCAGGTGATAGTTATTATTTTAAGGATTTTGAGAATTTTTTTATTCTCCTGTATGCTACTTCCCTATGATAGATTCCTAAAATGTCAGTGTGTATAAACTTGAAGATTCTTTTTTTTTTATTAAATCAATTATACACATATTTTTTATTATAAAGGTTTAGGGTACAATTCAGGGTTAGGTATACAAACATTGATTATGCAGGTATACTTGTTGATGAAGTATGCCCCTCCCTCCCCTAGCAGTTTCCCTCAAATGCCAATCCCACCCCCCTTCCC